GGGGAAGTTAAGTGGTGCCGTTGCAGCGAGGCAGCTCTGCTTGCCTCGCGGATTTGATCCCAACTTTTTATTTACCAACAGCGTAAATATTCAAAGTATAGACCCCCCCCCCCCCAAAAACCTTCCCCCTTTGATGGCATTTTCCAACAGCATGAATGAGAAGCGCAAGCTTGGTGTTTCTTGGCCTCGTGTCGGCTTCCAGTGTTGTTTTTCCATGTCACGTTTGAACCCGCACCGGGCAATGCTTGGAAGTGCTCATTCTTGCCCGCGCCACTTCTGCAACAATAAAATATTGATTGGAAAATCAAGTGGCTTGTATTGTTGATCCCGAATATGCTCAAATGGGGTTCGTGTTTCAAGGTCTTCATTTGGTCCTTATTTCGGGAGAAATATTCTCCCCCTTCCTTGTGCTCTTTAGCTTTTCCTTGGGATTCCTTCTCTCAGATGTTGATTTCTTTTTAGCCGATGGGGAAGTTGGATCAAAAAAGTCACGTCGGCTCCCTTTGAAGGCTCGGATGACATCATTTAATGGCATTAAATATTGGCTCGTCGTTCCCATTTGGACAACCGGAACATTTCCGTCCTTCGCGTTCATTCTGCTTTCATTTCGGCCTTTGAAAGGCGGAAGCAAGAGTGTCCAAACGCCGCCTCATTTCTTCCTAAAACTAAGAAGCCATCCGGGCCGCCGCTCTTCTGCCACCGTCCGGCCAGAAAAATAGCGTTCCCCCCCCCCCCCCCCCCACCTGCTGCCCATGACAACAGTCCATTGCAAACGTCAGGCCGTCGGGGAAATAACGGGACTCTTGCTTTCACCGGTACCGTTCGGCATGTTTCAGCAGTTCCGATACGAGTATCCGTTTTGATTAGCAGCCCCCCCGCCCCCAAATCTCCCACTCCCGTTGTGAATGTTAGAGGGACTCGCTCATTTTCATTCATTTCATTGGAGCCTCTGTCCAACGTTTGAGTTGAGTCACGTCAGCGCGTGTCGAGTCAAGCTCGGTGGAAGTCAACATCAAACCGAGTCATCTGGCACTGTGAGGGAACGGTTGGCATCGAGCAAAAATGTATGGGGGGGTGCAAGTGGATAGCGCGGGAATTTCCTTCCTCATAAAAAAAAAAAAAAACAAGCAAGCAAACTGTCCACGTTTCCTCGAGGGCAGGCAAAGAAGCAAGACGGCTTCCCTTGCGTATCACTTCTTGAAGGGCGTCAGTCTGCTGATGTTGTGCCAGAAGGCAGAGGCTTTGCGCTTGGGTTCCTCCAGCATGAAGACGCGCTGCGGCGGCAAGGCCGCGGCGAGGGCCGGCTCTTTCGCTCTCAGCACAAAGTCGCAGTACGCTCTGCTCGCCGCTGAGGAAACGCAGGGAGAAGATCACACGGGAGCGCTCCCGTCATTGACGCGGTCCGATCGGCGGCCGCCGAGTCGGCGACAAAAAACGCGGCGGCGGCCTACCTTTGGGTTTGCCGGCCGGGCGGCTTTTGCAGGCGTTGGCGATGGCCTGTTTTTTCTGCTCTTCGGTGAGCGCGAAACCTTTGGAGAGAAGAAGACGCAGGTTACCTTCCAAATGGACGTGTCGCGTCCATCCCCGCCATTTGTGCATTCCCAGCTTGTTGGGGTTTTTTTTTAGCTTCGACTATTTCGTGCGGGGCCCCTAAAGTGACAAGGAGAACCAAAACATACGTTTCTCGTTAGGACCAGAACGTTTGTCATCCTAACGAGGAAACGTTGGCAAGAAACTACGATCCACTCCTTCTCCTCTCTCAGGTGGTCGATGACCCCCTTCGCTCCTTGTTTGGAGCGCGAGTCCGATTGAAAATGGCCGAGCGTTCACGGGAAGCTAGCTCACGCAGGTAAATACGCGAACGCTGGTGAGCAGTCATCCTAATGAGGGACACACCTGCACTTTTGTTTGTTTGTTTTTGATGTCTCCGCGTCACTTTGGGGGCTCCGCACTTGAGAGCATTCAATCGACTCCGACAAAGAGCGGACGGACATGCGGGGCATCCGACCTGTCTCCCGGTCGGACCGGACTCGCCTCCTCTCTTCGGCGAAGGCTCGAAGCCAGCGCTGTTTCTGCTCGGGCTTCTTGGCGCACAGGAGGTGCACCTCCTCGCCGGACGGCGATCGCAGCCGCAGCGTGTTTTTCACGCTGACGTTCAAGTGATTCTCTTTGCCGTCCTGGACGTCTGTGATCTCCATGCGGTCCGTGTCCAGGCGGCCTTTGTAATAGAGCGTGTCGCGGCGCAGGAGATCCTAGGAGGAGTCACGGGAAAACCGCAGTTCGGCACAAGAGCGGACGGCGTATTGCCGGCCGGCGGACGTCACCGCCGCCGGCAATACGTCTCGTTCCAAAGGGCGGTTTGAAAGGCGACGGGCTGCCGCGCGTGAATTTTCAGAAGGCGTTCTGCTGTACAACACGGCCGGATGCTGTACGAGTACGTTCTGCAAAAGGGCGGGCCAGCGAGATGCGGGCGCCATGCCGGGCTCGACAACTCCAAAGGCGAGAGCGGCGTTCCGACCTTTTTGCAATAGACGATCTGATGGTCAAAGAGGAAAAACATTCTCTGTTGACTCCTGGCGTGCGGCGGAGACACTTTGGTCAACTCTCCCGAGAAGATGAGATGGGAGCTCCTGCTCAACACGTCGGCACCCTGCGCAGAGAGAAAGGGCGTCCAGAAAGCGCGTTGGATCCGGTTCCCCGGATCCAACGCGCGGCGGCCGGCGCCTACCTCCCAGCCCTCGATGGAGCCCTGCCAGCGGGCGATCTTTTCCAGATTCTCCAGGCGCCGCTTCCTTTCGTTGATGAGCCTGGCCACGTTCCTCATGGCGTCCAGGGCGGCCTCCACGTCCCGGTACTCCCTGGCGATCGCAGCACAGCGTGCGCTCGGTGAGCCGGCCGGCCGGGCGCCCGTCGGCGCCGGAAAGCGCGCAAAGGTCACCTGTGCCCCGGGTTGGTGTACTTGAGCAGCTCGGCCAGCTGCAAGGGATACTTGCAGATCTTCTGAACCGGCGTCAGCAAGAAGCCGTCCAGGGAAATGTCGATCATCTTCCGCAGGAGTCGACAGGCCTCGAAGAACAACACGTACTTGCTGGCCTTCGTGAGCGAGGAGAGCTGGACGCAGGCGTTGGGGTGGTTGTTGCAGTACTCGGAGTAGATCTGAAAATGGACTTGCTGCGCGCGCGAGGCGGCAGCAGGACCGGTCAGCGGCCGCGCGCCGGAGCCCGCGCCCTCCCCCTCCCCCCTCGCCGGACGCGCTTACGCCTTCCAGGAAGCAGCGGCCGATCTCGCTCAGGTGGGGTTGCTCCTTGTCGTACTTCTTCTCCAGGATCCGCAGGAACTTTCTCTGGAACTTGTAGATCTCTTCCACGTTGCCGAAGATGCTGCAAAGCTGCTCCTCCGTAAACATGTCCGTCCTCCTGCGGCACTGCTTGATGTAACCCTGCGCGACGAACAAAAAAAATGGCCATCGCCGAGCGTGAAAGGAGCCGATTGGAAGAGCGCCGAAGCGCTGCGCTTTTCCTGCCGTTTGCATCTTCTCTGGGGTGGCGGCGGGCTACTCCCCCCCCCCCCCCCCCCCCCCCCCAAAGCTGCTCCTCCGTAAACATGTCCGTCCTCCTGCGGCACTGCTTGATGTAACCCTGCGCGACGAACAAAAAAAATGGCCATCGCCGAGCGTGAAAGGAGCCGATTGGAAGAGCGCCGAAGCGCTGCGCTTTTCCTGCCGTTTGCATCTTCTCTGGGGTCTTGCCGGGCAGCCCGGGTCCCGAGTACGATCCGAGTCCCGGCCATTCTTTGGCCCCGGCCCGTTCGTCCGTCTCCAGGTGGGCGTTCAAGTCCTCTGCGGGCTCGTCCTGGTTCACGCGCAACTAGCAGGGGAGTCGGGAAGAATAGATCGCATCTGAGCCGAGACGGAGACGAGGACATGCTGGATTCGAGTTTTGCGCTCACAGTAGAAAGCACCCCCCCCCCCCCCCCCCCCCCCACCGGCTGGGCCACCCCCCCCCCC